TTCAATTCTTTAGTATATTTATAAAAGTAAATTTACTGTTCATTGTATATACTGTAGAGTAAAGGTATTGTATATAATTAATTATCTTAAGCTTTTGTTATGAATGAGAATTTAATTAATAAAATAGCTTTTCTAAAGCACACATATTTTCTTTATTAGAAAATACATGTAAATGTATTTACATTTAAATATGTGTTTTACAGTAAGTTGGATAGAAATTACAAACTTTATTATTTTAATTGTCATTACATTTAGTTAAATCAATATTTGATAGTTTGTTTATAAAATTAGTGCAAATTATTATATTACAATTAAAACAATTTATTTAAGTTAAATTATTATTTTTGAATTAATAAATGTATTAATTAACTTCAAAAAACATTAAATTTACTAATAATTAATATTTGTGATAGGTTTTAGAAAAGAGTGCCAATTTAAAATTAATCCAAAATTTAGCTTTAGATCAATATAAAGTAGATTACAATTTGTAAATCATTAAAATCCATTAACAATTAAAGTGAATTAATTTTAATAATTAATAAGATTTTCAATCATTTCGGCCGCTCTTTGAATGTAATCTGAAGTTTGAATACGTTTTGAAGCGACGGATAGTTTGTGTTTCAATTCCTTGTCATTCAATAGCTTTTCAATAGAGTTAAGCAATTCCTGCTTTGAAACGGTGTGCGGATTAAGTCTAATCCCAAATCCCTTTTAATACTTTTAAGTGCAATGTTTATAATCATAATTTTTTGTCACAAAGTTTTTAAATTCAATAGCACAACAAAACTACAGTAATAACAAGTATTGTTATAATTAATTATGCTAACGGTAATGTTATAAGTTTAAATATGTAAACTGCAGTTTTACAAAGAAAAATTTAAAATAATAGAATTTATTTATTTAAAATTAATTAATTAATATAATACTACCAAATTGTATGAACAACTAGATTATATTCTGAACGTATCAACAAAAATGGTAAAATAAAACACCCGAACACAAGAGTTAGCACAACTCGTTTACAATTAAAATACTGCCGAAAATATCATTTCATAAAATTTAATTATATTTAATGAGAATAAACACTAAATAACACACTCTATAACGCAAATTAAAACAAGGTTTATAAGCAAAATGTGTTGTTAAGCGCACAAAATTTATATTAAACACAGAATAAACAGATTTATATTTTTATTAAACAAATTTAATATTTATCATTGAATTTGTGGCCAAAATATATGAGAATTTTAGATAAAAATTATTCATTTGTTTTAAGTAAAGACCAATCGATGAGATCTCGAATCCAGGGGTGATCTAAGAGACCGAACGGATCCAATCGATAGCGAATGTCGTACTCCAGAAGTCTCTTAAGCAAATCGAAGGCACTTTTGTCCACTCTATCCCTCGCCAGACGGTTGTCGTTGATTGTCTTCTTCCAAGTCTTGTTCTCTTGACTTTTTAACATAACCTCCGAATCTGAAGAGTTAAACGGAAGCGATTGCGTCAGCATTTTGTAGAGACAGACCCCGAGAGCCCACATATCGCTTATGAATGGACTGTACTCTAAGGCCGGAGTATTTGCCTCATCTTTATAAACATCTTGTCGTATGATTTCGGGCGCCATATAGTCTCGAGTGCCCCCGAAGTGACCACTTCTGATGACCGCCTTCTCCTCTCTGTACACCATCTGTGAGAGACCGAAGTCACTGATGCGGATGTCATACTCGCCGGTCTTCGGGTTCGTAACTAATAATACATTTTCCGGTTTGAGGTCTTTGTGTGCGATCTTTAGACGATGTAAAAACATTAAAGCCGTCGCCATTTGTGCCAAATATCTTCGGGCCTTTCGGTTCTCGAAGGGCCCGAATTCGATCTCTTCCTGTAAAGTGAATCCGTCGGCGAACTCGAGGAACAAATAAGCGATCTTTTGGTTGTCGTTATCGACGAGGAAGTGGTCATAGAGTCCAATAATGTACCGATGTTTTGCTTTTTTGTGGACATATATTTCATGCATGAGACTCCTCTCCATTTTCTCCGTCTTCTCGGTCTTGATTTGGATCTGTTTACAGGCCATCACTTCATTAGTTCCGGTCTTAAAGACTCTGTGAACTAAACCAAAGCCTCCTTTTCCTAACTGTTGGCCAAATGTATAGCCGAGTTCTGCCATCAATTTATCGGTTGTCTTAAACCGATTGTTCGGAATCCTATATTTTGTGATGAGTTTGGGGTTCTCTACGGCTGTCCTCACCAGATATGCCGACCAATCGGACGACTCTTTCCCCCCTTTTCTGTCATTTGGATAATAAGATGTCGTTTCCTTCGGAGAAATGGTTTCTGTCATTCGTTTGGCCGTCTCTTCGCCTCTTCTGTTGTCCACCACTTTGTTGTCAGTCTTTGTCTCGACTTTTGTCTTCACTTCTGTCACCACTTTCTTGGATGAGGTCTTGTCGACGGGTTTCTTGTCATCCCTTTTAAGCGAAGGTTTCATTGATTTATCGCTCAATTTCTTCGTTGACTTCATTTTCTTCTTTTGCTTCTCTTTGTTATCACAAAATCCAAGACAACAACAAATCCATCGACACATCACTTATGGATTCAATTCACAGATAATACAAGTCTTGGATTGGGTTTTGAGAAGTGTTTCAATAAATTAGAAGAAGTTTTCAGTGAATTTCAGTTTAAATCAGTTTAAACTCAATAACAGTTTTAACGGTTAAATACTAACCGTTTTAATCGTTTTTTAAATAACTAATTATTGTTAACACTAAATGTTTGTTAAATTTTTAATCTAGTTTAAGTTTATAATTTAGAGTTTAAATAACAATATAAAATTTAAATTGTAACCACTTTTTAACAATACACAAAAAAGCATACAATTTTGTGGATTATATGATAAATGAAATCAAATTCTTTGTCTAAATTAACCATTTGTTTATTTCTATTTGAGACCAAGAATTTGCCATTAGATGAGAAGAACACTATGTCTTAAATGCTATATTCATCTCTTGGATCAATTGAAAACCACTAAAGTTATTACAGTATAGAAACGTAACTTTAACACTTTATAAAATAATATTACCGTTATAGTTAATTTATAAACACTTTAATTGATTAATTAAACTTATAAATTAATTTTAATAATTCTTATCAACCACTTATTATACTTGATTTTTATTAGTAATTCAAATTACATCGATATCTATGAATACAATAGTTTAGTTGACCACTAAATTAAGTTAACAAAACAATTACTTTATTCAAACAAAACTTTTAATAATAAACTCATATTACAAACCAATCAAACAATTCAAACCAAATGATTGAATGCTTTAATATAATAATAATCGCCAAAAATCAAAGCCGTGTCGTAATTATTCCTATCAGTGCTGCCATTGACTATAAGGGCCGGCACTTTATACTGGGGCTTACCATTAGCTCTATAGGCGCCAGAGCTCAGCGAATCCATAATCTTATTAAAAGCATTCAAATACTTAACATTCTTCGTGAAGCCATACAACTCGATGAGACCGGTGGCCGCTATACTGGCCGCCGAACTGTCCCGATGTATGTACGGGTGTTGCGGATCGTGGGGTACGTTGAAGTCCCAGAGGGGGACACCATCTGCGGGCGAGTTGTCGATGAAATAGTTGGACACTCCCTCCGCAGCCTTCAGTACGTGATCGGCTTTGGTGTACCGGTAAGCCATTGTGAGGCCGGCCACGAGCCACGCCTGGCCCTGTGACCACGTCGACCAGTCCGCGTAGCCGGTGGCCGTGTATTTGCGAGTCACTTGTCCGGTGTGGGGATTAAAATTGACCACGTGGAAACTGCCGTAGTCTTTGCGCAGGTGTTCCCGAATGGTCACTTCGGTGTGCGAGAGGGCCATATCGTATAGTTTTTTGTCGCCCGACAGCCGCCAGCCCTCAAACAGTAGCTCCAGATTCATCATATTGTCCACAATCACCAGAAAGTCGTTTGGGTTGGATGTGTCCCACGATTTAGTGCACCCGACCTTAGCTGCGCCGGGAGTTCATTCATAACAGACATTAACAAAGACATGCCATGAGATAAACAACACCTATACTATACATACCGTTGAATCGTTTGGCCAAATGGTTGGCCGCGTTGATGATAATCTTGGGATAGTTGGCATTCTTCGTGAAGGCATAGCCGTCACCGTAGGAACACATGATCATAAAGCCCACGTCGTGCTGCCACGTGTTGTACTGGTCGTCGTACATGGCGTCGGTGGCCCGGATGGCCAACTGTTTCCACTCATCACTCTTGGTGTAGTTATACAAATGCCACAATACACCCGGGTAAAAGCCAGCCGTCCACTGGTTCTGCACCGGTGGTGTCACCTGATCCCAGTGGTCAGACCACGTGTGGCCCAGCGCTGGGTATTGGCTACCGGTCTGTATGTGTTGGATAGCTTTGTGGTACTGTTTGGCCGCGAAGTCGACCAACTCTTTGCGGCTCAAGCCGTAAACCAATGGCAATACAACTATTGCTAAAAGTATTTTGTTGCCAATCATTGTGTGTTTTTTAAATGCACTTTCAATTATTATTTAATAAGTTTTGTGATAATAAGCTGTTTAAATATAAACACACAGAATATCATTATCTAATTATGGTTAATCTATACGATTGTGTTAATCCCTCTCATAGAATGTGCCAATTGTCTCATCCATTATCACTGAACTGTTCCCTTCGAGAGCAGTATATAGTGATAATTCACAGATAAATACACGTATTGTTAAAAACAATTCTTATATCAACTAGATTATTCCTTAAAACAACCTTGTTGTTTGCAAAATACTTCCATATCTAATATCCTTTATAAATGTAAAATAGGACACAATAGTGCGCAATGTACATTACAGTGTTGTGCAATGTACAAATACTGATTCAATTGTAGATATTAACCAGATAAAACAACCAATATTTAAGATATTTATATTAATTTAATCACCATTTAAACATCAATTACAAAAACAACTTTAAGCAAAATATTTGAGTGCATTCATGAAGTAATAGTCGCCATAAGTGAGGGCCACATCGGACTTCCCCTTCTGGGCGTTGGGACCCGATATCGTGCCGTTCACTATAAGTGCGGGTAATTTGTACGCCGGGTTCCCATCGGCCCGGTATCTACTGCTGGCCAATGACTCCACAATCAATTTCGCTGTCTTCAGATACCTGTCATTCTTGGTATAGCCGTAGAGTTCAAACAAACCCGAGGCGGCTATCGCTCCGGAGGACGAGTCTCGCGGTATATACGGGTGCTTATCGTGAGGTACATTGAAATCCCAGGGGGCGATACCGTCGGCGGGCAAGTGATCGATGTAATAGTTGGCCAATCGTTGGGCGGCGTCCAGAAAGTGTTGGGATTTTGTGTACCGATAGACCATGGTAAAGCCGGTCACGAGCCACGCCTGGCCGCGGGACCACGTGCTCGAGTCGTTATAGCCCTGGCCCTGATAGCGACGGATCACAGCACCGGTAGTCTCGTTGAAGGCCACGATATGATAGCTGCTATAGTCGGAGTGTCGGACGTGCTCTTTGAGCGTACGGTTGGCGTGAGAGACGGCCATATCGTAGAGGGTTTGGTTGTTGGACAGTCGCCAGCCCTCCAACAATAGCTCCAGATTCATCATATTGTCCACAATGACCAGGAATTGGCCCTTTAGGGGCAGATGGTGTACATAGTCGGCGCCCCACGACCGCGTGCAACCAACGATAGCTAAGGGTGCAGTCATATTATTAAAATCATGGTATATAATAGTAGCGATACTTACGGCTAAACCGTTTGGCCAGACTGTGAGCGGCGGTGACAATCACTTTAGGATAGGTCTCATTGGCGGTGAACTCGTATCCCTTGCCATACGAGCACATTATCATAAACCCGATGTCGTGAGAGTCGGTCTTGAATTGATCCTCGTATAGGCCGTCAGTAGCCTTAATGGCCAACCGTTTCCACTCCTCATTCTTCGTGTAGTCGTATAGTTGCCAAAGAACTCCCGGATAGAAGCCGGCCGTCCACTGGTCCTTAACGCCCGGTGTTGTCCGCCAAGTGCTGGACTCCGGGGAACCATCGTTCGGGTATTGGGAACCGATTTTCAGTGTTTTGTCTAATTTTGTGTATTGTTTCACAGCGTAATCGACCACTTGTTTGCGGTCCAAACCCCACACTATTGGACTCAACACCAGTAAAATTATCCCAAAATTAGCCAACATTTTCTGACCGTCGATAACAATTGAAAACAAATAACTGGTTGTCAATAATTTTTACCAAGTTTTTTTAATTGACTTTAATTATAATCGCTGTTTTATAAGTGTTTTTTGTTACTTATTGTGAATTTATGAAAATATGTTCAAATAACACGATTATCAATGTTTTATCAGAGGATCAGATGTTTGTGTTCACATCACTTAAGGTGTAAATGATATCTCATTATTAAAATATTTTTTAAGTGCAAACTATTTTAATCCTCTTTTGTAAAGTTGTCTGAATTTTTGTAAATATTTTTATTAATAATTGTAATTTAAAGTCAAAACATACTAAAGATAAATGAATATTTAAATATAATTAATATTTAACACAAACATTTTTAGTTTTATAGTTTTATTTTGTTAAATCAAAAATACTGTATAACTTTTTTAAATAACAATTTATTAATTATCTGAAACTAAAGTGCATTTTGATTACAATTATGATATAGTGTACCTAACTTATTTAGTACTATAAATAATTAAGTACTAGTGTATTTTATTTTTATTAAAACAGATTTAAATATCTATTAATTTATAACTTATAGCATTACATTTATATTATCTAGATAATTACATCAGCCATCGGACCGGAAAATTTTAATTATAAATTCAATTACATTTTTCAAACCTATTTTTTAAAACATCTATTTGTAAGTTATATAATATAAATATAACTTTTATTTCATGTACTTAAATGCAATTCAATTCTGTGATAGTGTATAAATATTGGGCACAAACTTTCATAAATAATAATTATAACTAAAAATAGCAATATTCTTAAAATTAGTTTTTACTACAACTACAATATTTTAATCAAAATTATGTATAAAATACTACATTATATTTCGGGGGCACAAAACCCTCCAGACTATTTTCAATCAATACCATGTAAAGTACTTTACATAAGTTAAAGTTTTTCGCAAACTTATCTCTCAAATACACCCACAAATTCATTCCCCTTTAAAACCAAAACTGTTGACAAGAAAACAAAAATAAATCAAATCATAGATATATTAAACATGTTTTCATATCATTTTACACGCAATTAATAAATCATAATCTCAAACAATTCATAGTATCTATTGTTATATATTAAGCGAAACGACCCGTAAAACAAAATTAATTATAATATGCTTTCACTTGTAATCGTATTGACATTTATATTACATAACATGTTATACTGTATAAACATTATTAGCGCAAAAAACTTTTACCCTCACGAAAAACATACAGCAATGGTTAA